CCCAACAATATACCCAAGTCACGGTTCCGACACTTCGATAGCTACTTTTCAGGCAATCCTATCCAAATATAGATCTCTAGATATATCCCAAGCTTTTAAATCTCTTTTCACCGCCTCCGCCCATGTCAGCTTCGGCCTTCCTCTGTCTCTCCTTATATTATTAGCTTTGCTTGGAACTCCACAACGCACTGGTGCATCTGGCGGTCTCCTCTGGACATGGCCAAACCATCTCAACCGATGTTGGACAAGCTTTTCTTCAATTGGTGCTACCCCTAGGCGATCACGTATATCATCATTCCGAACTCGGTCCATTCTTGTGTGACCACAAATCCAACGCAACATGCGCATTTCTGCAACACTCATTTGTTGAACATGCCGAGCCTTTGTAGGCCAACAATCGGCTCCATACAACATTGCAGGTCTAATTATCGTCCTATAGAACTTGTCTTTTAGCTTTTGGGGTACCCTCTTGTCACAGAATGCCAGAAGTTTGACGCCACTTGATCCACCCTGCTTTGATTCTATGGCTAACGTCTACATCAATATCTCCATCTTTCTGTAGCATCGATTCCAGATATCGGAAGGTGCCCTTCTGTAGCACGACTTGACCTTCCAAACTCACATCTCCCTCATCCTGTGCAGTTGTGCCAAAGTCGCATTTCATATATTCGGTTTTAGTCCGGCTTAGTCTAAAACCTTTAGACTCAAGGGTCTGCCGCCACAACTCAAGTTTCCTATTTACTCCCGCCAGGCTTTCATCAACCAACACTACATCATCGGCAAAAAGCATGCACCAAGGGATATCCCCTTGAATGTCCCTGGTAACCTCGTCCATTACCAAGGCAAAGAGATACAGGCTCAAGGCTGACCCTTGATGAAGCCCAATTCTAATCGGGAAGTAATCAGTGTTACCATCGTTGGTTCGAACGCTAGTCACAGCATTGTTGTACATGTCCTTGATGAGGGTTACGTACTTTGTTGGGACTTTATGTCTATCCAAAACCCACCACATAACATTTCTTGGTATCTTGTCATAAGCCTTCTCCAAGTCAATGAAAACCATGTGTAGGTCCTTCTTCTGCTCTCTAAATCGCTCCATAACTTGTCTTAACGAGAAGATTGCTTCTGTGGTTGACCTTCCGGGCATGAAACCAAATTGGTTTGTAGATACCCGTGTTCTTTCTCGCAGGCGTTGCTCGATGACTCTCTCCCATAGCTTCATAGTGTGGCTCATCAACTTAATCCCACGATAGTTATTACAACTCTGGATGTTACCCTTGTTCTTGTAGATTGGTACCAAAGTGCTTCGTCTCCACTCCTCAGACATCTTGTTCGATCGGAAGATATTATTGAACATCTTGGTTAGTCATACTATAGCTAAATCTCCAAGGCATCTCCACACCTTGATTGGGATACCATCCGGGCCCATCGCTTTGCTCTCTTTCATCATTTTCAACGCTTCTCTGACCTTCGATTCTTGAATCCTCCGCTCAAAACGCCTATTGGTGTCATCAAACGAGTCGTCCAACTGAACGGAGGAGTTCTCGTTCTCCCCATTGAACAACTTGTCGAAATACTCTTACCATCTTTGTCTGATCTCATCCTCCTTCACCAAGAGTTGCTCCCTCTCATCCTTAATGCACTTGACTTGAATGAAGTCCCTCGTCTTCCTATCACGAGTCCTAGCCATCCTATAGATGTCCTTTTCTCCTTCCTTCGTATCTAGACGTTTGTACAAATCTTCATAAGCCCGTCTATTTGCCTCCGCCACTGCTCATTTTGCAGCCTTCTTTGCCACCTTATACTTCTCTATGTTATCTGCACACCGGTCCTAGAACAAGCGCTTATAGCATTCCTTCTTCTCCTTAATTGCCTTCTGAACATCCTCATTCTACCACCAAGTGTCTTTCATAGCGCATCCACTTCCTTTGGTCACTCCCAGCACCTCTGCAGCAACCTTTCGAACGCATGTCGCCATCTTCTCCCACATATTATTGGTGTCACCTTCGTCCTTCCATGGGCCCTCTTCAATAACTCTTGCCTTGAAGACCTCTGATGCCTCCCCTTCTAATTTCCACCACTTTCAGCCTGTTCGTTTGGCTGTGGCTTGTCGTAAACGATCGTAAATTTCCAGCCGGAACAGTATTTTTCTCGCACACAAACCAGCCAGCAGTACTTCTTCACGAACCAGCAACGAAACGAACCAGCCAACCGAACAGGCTGTTTCTCCTTGCAATCTTGGCTTGTTTAGCCCTACGAGTTTGCACCAGAAAGCGGAAGTCAGTCACCACTAGCTTGTGCTGAGACACCACACATTCCCCATGTCTCACCTTACAATCCACGCAAGCACGTTTATCTCCCCTTCTTATAAGGACAAAGTCAATCTGACTACAGGAAAAGCCACTACTAAAGGTCACTAAGTGGGACTCTCGCTTTTGGAAGAAAGTGTTTGCTACCATCATATCAAAAGCTGTAGAAAAGTCTAGGACATCCTCTCCCTCCTGGTTCCTTCTTCCGTAACCAAAACTTCCATGTGCCGCCTCGAAACCTGTACCAGATGCTCCTACATGGCCATTAAGGTCTCCTCCAATGAAGAGCTTCTCGCTACTAGGTACAGCCCTGACTAAGCCATCCAAATCCTCCCAGAATTGCCTCTTAGCACACTCATCAAGGCCTACTTGGGGAGCATACGCACTAATAATGTTTAAGACTATATCACTAATGACGAGTTTAACTAAGATAATCCTATCTCCTTGCCTTTTCACCTCCACCACACCACCCTGGAGGCTCTTATCGATCAAAACTCCCACTCCATTTCTATTCGAAGTTGTCCCTGTGTACCATAGCTTGAAGCATGTATTGTCCACCTCCTTCGTCTTTTGACCTTTCCATTTGGTCTCTTAAACGCACAAGATATTTACATGCCTCCTAACTATTGTGTCAACTAGCTCTCTTAACTTACCCGTGAGGGACCCAACATTCCAGCTACCTAAACGGATCTTGGTTGATTCAACTAGCTTCCTTACCCTTCTGCCTTTTCTATCTATTTTTTCTGTCTGCCTTCTTTTTTTCGCCGGTATTAAATTACAGAGTTCGTTTTTTTGTGAACAAAAATTACAGAGTTCGTTTTGTAAAGGACTGTTTCTGGATTCTATTCGTATTCTTTTACCAGGCCCAGGCGGCATGCTAGAGCGAGCAGCCCACATGGCACAAGCACGGCCCATCCGCTGGAGCCAGCGGCCCAAAGCTGAAGCGAAGAGCTGAGATGGGATTCCGACTCTGACTGTCCGACAGCGGCATCTACGTGGCGTATGTTTTTTCCTTCCCTTTCTTATACACTATATTTCTTTCTCTTCTATACTATGGAGTACGGCACCTACTTATCAAATTAGATAGGACTTAAACAAATATAGGAAATTTCTATATATGCTTAGAAAATATTATCAATATTCATATATTCATCTATATCTATACCTAATAATAAAAAAATAAAATTTTTAATAATAAAAGGTAAAATTTCTACCACCGTTTTGTTTCCGCCGTTTTTCTTTATTGTGCCTTTGTTATGTTTGCGTACCGTCACGGTCTCCGGCTCCGTCTTGGATATGTGCAAAAGGATATTAGAGTGAGAAAGAAAATAGAAATGAATACAGAGTTCAGGTGTAAGATACAAGAGAGAAGAAAAAGAAGGAAGGGCCTTAATAGTTTTTAAATAGATTAGGGTTCTCGATGCAAAATGTTAAAGATCTTGCAAAATTCACCAAAAATTATAGAGAAATCAGAAAAATACCAAATCAGTTTTGTTAGTTTTATAAAAATGTGATCTATCCATATGTGTTATGAATCTTGTTAGGTTATGCTTTGTTTATAGGCGTGTTAAATCATCTTGCATGTGTTGTATGCATATAGGTTCGACGATAAACGAACATGCTAGAGGCGGACCCGGAATATGCAAATGATATCCTTGTTGTCATTGTCCCCCAAGCCTTCACTAACTTTTTGTTGTCTGGTTCCTCTCAACCAAGCTTGGTGCATAACCCTTATTTTTTAACACTTATTATGTTTGTTTCTGAATTAAGTTTTGATAAGAAAGATTTACACCATGTGTAGTTTTGAATAAAAAAACAAAACTTATTTATATTAAAATATGGATTAGTCAATGGTACAACTAATTATGTCTGAGCTGGAATGTTGGGCAGTATATAATTCTGACAAGGGCTGCTATATGAAAAAAAAAATTAAAGAGAGATCTCCCGTCATAATCATCAGAGGACAGAACAATCCTAATGCATTTATAACAAAAAGTTACCAAAGTTGATATGATGCATCAAAAAAGTGTACAGATTAAATATGCGCTTTGTAGCTGAAGGATACCAAGATGTTTTTTTAATTCAATACGTGTTTAATAGGACATTATTATTTATTATGAGTATTAACTTATATTATAGATGTGATGATCATCAAAAAAATAAATTATAAAAATATAGGATAAAAGTAGATATGTATCATTCATGTTATCATTTTGCATGAATGTTAGTAGTTTTTTTCTTCCGATGCAACGCACGGACATATTTACTAGTAGATATAGATTTACAATCTGATTTTAAGCGTATCAATGAAACCAGGGCCTTGTTTAGTTGCCCGATTTTGGACAACCAAAATCATTGTGCCAGCACTGTAGCACATTGTAGCGTTTCGTTTGTATTTGTGAATTATTGTCCAAACATTGATTAATTAGGCTCAAAAGATTCGTCTCGCAAAGTACAATCAAACTGTACAATTAGTTTTTAATTTCGTCTACATTTGGTACTCCATGTATATACCGTAAGTTTGATGTGACGGGGCCACATCACAAATCCTGGCCCACTCCACCCAAAAAAAACCTGCCCCACTGTTGATATATTCCGAGAGGATCACATCAGAAGCCCTCGCGACGAACCCTAACCATACCAGATTTTTTCTTAAGCCTATTCCCCTTCGTCGGCGGCGGCGGCCTATCCATGGCGGACGGTATCGTTATCGCCGAGCATGGACGGTCCATCTGGGGCTCCGGCTCCTCCACGCACGTGGTGGAGTCATACGAGGAGGAGGAGTGGGAGTGCGCAGGCTTGGAACCCTTCTTCTTCGACGTGGCGGAGGCGGTGGCGGACCATGAGAGGCGGATGCAGATTGAGCAAGAGAATGAGCAAGAGAAGGCGCGCCTGGAGGATCTGCGCAAACAGAGGAGGCAGGCCTATGATCGGAGCCGTGATTACGATCCCAAGCAGGGTGGCCGCTACATGACCCGCTGCTTCTTCTACGACTTCCTCCAATTCGACGTCGACGAGGAGTGTAAGCCTATCCGATCCACCTCTCAATTCCTGTGTAATTTTGCTTTTGTATAAGCCGCCCAGGCAACGCCGCCTATCACAATTCAACTAATTTAAATCCATGTGAAACTAAGTAATTTATGCATCTCATCTCGGTAATAGTTTCAGTTGCTTGAGTTTAGAGAGGAGTTTCCCTTTATTAAGTAACCTTTGTCAGTTACCCTACACAGCATGTGCACTCACACTATCGGGATTCAGTTGCAAACAAGCACTTCTTATGATTCTGATTTGCTGTCTGCATGAAACATTAACTCATTTTTTTTCCTGAGCCTGATTTGCATTAAACCTAAATTATGTTATTGTTTTTTGTTTTCCTGTGCTGCAGCAAGCCTTGGACCAGTGAGATACACCGATAAGGTCTACAAAATGGATGACTTTTGTCCTCTGCTTAATGCAGTAAACATTCTCTCTGTGAAGATAGCATCCTTGGATGTTAAATTTCCAATACATGTCTATGGCACTGTCATTGCCAGAGGCCCTGTTCGGCAGGACTGAAAAATACTGTTCCGGCTGATTGTTGTGAGAGAAAAATACTGTTCTGGCAGGACGTGAATAGTGATTCTGTGAGAGGAAAAATAAGCCAGCTGGCTGGAAACAAGCCAGCCGAACAGGGCCAGAGATTCCTTTGATCGCAAGTGTGTTTATGTCTTCCGCCGCACTAGAGACAATTGCCAAGTCATCAAGTCTAAGGTACCGATATCATGCCTAGCTTAGTTATCCATCATTCTTAACATACAGATTCTAGCATGCATTGTGTTTGGAAAGATAAAAGTCACTACTAGCACGTTTATTAGCATTTTAACTGCTAGTTGGATCTATAATCATTCAAAACCTAACAGTTGACACACACCCTTATAGTTTTGAATCACTGAAAACTGTACTGTAAACTTTTCTTGTAGACCCAATCGCTGACCTTGGAGGGCCCAAAGCGAGGACTCGTATTGTTAGATGATCTATTCATTGAGATCGATCTGAAGATAAAAGATGTTCGACAAAAGAGTGCTCAACGGGGTAGGGACAGAGAACTCAGTAAAGGATTTGTAAGGATCAAGGGCACTGGTCGGATCCTTGAGAAATCCCTTGTTGAAAGTAAATATCTTGCTACAAGGCTTAGTACAGTTGAAGTCGGGTGTTCAGTTGTGAAAGATGGCCTTGAGTCTCTTGTTGCTATTGAAGTTTTACGTGGAGAGTTCAGCGGTAAAATCACTGCTTGCACTGTGCACGTCCCGCATAGCCTCCTGCTTCATGATAGCAAACTTGGTGGTAAGAAGGTTGGCGGTGTTAAAGGAGTCATCCAACTTTTGCAGCCTGTCATAACTGTGGGTAGGGGAGACAAGCTGATAGTTGTAATCCAGACTAGCGATGGCGTTTCTAAGCGCACCGTCGAGTTTACTCGAAGGATCAGGAGCTCAGATGAAGATGTTATCACTGTTGGTGCCACTAAGATGCGCGTTAAGGTTTCTTGGTCGGTAATGGACTGGTAAGCAGGTTTCTTGGTGGGTGATGGGCTGGTAAGCAGGTTTCTTTGTGGGTGATGGACTGGTAAGCAGGTTTGTTGGTGGGTGATGAACTAGTAAGCGTGAGCTTAATTATGGATTGTCGTATGCTATATATTTGCCGTGCCAACTGTCTGGCCCAGATAAGAAGTAACAGTATCTGTATATAATGGGTCGTTATGTTGAACTGATGTCTATCGTGTTAGGCTTATATTATTATTGTTATAAGTAGTACTCATGATAAGTAGTAATCGTGATGACCATATTGTGCTCAAGTTGCCAAGAGAATTGTTTGGTGTTGAATGTCATGTTTTTTTTTTATGCCTGATCATTCCAAGACCACAGAATATGCTGTGTTTCAACAGAAACTAAGGCTATCAAAGAAGATTTGTTTCTCCATCTACCGCTAAAATGCGACAGAGGATTTGTTCACGATAGATAGATTCAGCCTACCTCAGCGACACATGCATGCCTCAACCTGCTATTGGCGCCGACGAGTGGGCCTCCTCTTGCCCATCCTCCTTCCCCAACGTTGCTGAGAGAGAAGCTTCCCGCCGGATCCGACTGGCCCGAGATAACCTATGCTGCCGGCCGTCTCCCTCACGCAACTCAGGGGAGAAGGCGGCGCCACCACACGCCACCATGGTTGCAGCGACTGGCATTCTCCGCGTCTAAGAACCGACCCCCAAGCACCGGCACAAGCTCCACGCACAGCACCTGCCCTGTTTAATTCTACATAGGAATTCCAACGGTAATGCTAGGCATACGCCGTCTGATGGGCACCGACGTGGCCCGCACCGCACATAGCCGCCCACACGGAACCAAACCCCACCGCTCACTCCGGTCAAATTCATCATCCCTTTTCGCGCACCACATCATCCTGCTTCTCCACTCGACCGCTCCTCCCCCGCCACTCATCTTCCTCGCCGCTGCTGCTCCGCGCATCAGCTGCTGTTGCTGCCGCCGCCTTTGCAGCTGCTCCTGTCGTTGCCACGAGATGCGCGGCGCGACGCTCTCCCCACCGCTACGTGGCGCGCCTGCCCAACCTCGACGGCGGACATGGTGGGCTCCCCATGGCGGATCCATGGCAGCACCGGCCTCCCATGGTGGATCCATGGAGCGGCGCAGATCCAGCGGCGACGACGGCCCACCATCCCACCCCATCCATGGAGGCGGCTCGATCTGCCTCCCCCTCTTTACCCTTTATCTCGAGGCTGCAGTGGATTTTTGCGGTGTTGCAATAGTCGTTTTGAGGATGTTGCATCATGTATTTTGTGGATGTTGCAGCTACCGTTTCGAGATGTTGCAACATGGGTTCTTTTGAATGTTGGAAACAATCAATTTTTGAGATGTTGCAACTCGTTTTTTCCGATGTAGATTTGTTTATGTTGCAGCATGTGTTTCTCGGATGTTGCAATAGGAGATTTCAAGATGTTGCAACATGTGTTTTCCGATGTTGCAACTGTCAATTTGAGATGTTGCAACATGGTTTCCTAGATGTTGCAATAGTCGTCTTAAGATGTTTGCAACAGTTGGTTTCAAGATGTTGCAAGTGTTGATCTAATGTTGCAACTCGCGGCCCCTCCCCAACCAAGCGCAGCGCCCTTCCCCCTCTCTCTCTCTCTACGCCCGACGTGATCGTGGCCACGAGCAAAGACGCAGGGCTTGGGCCTAGTGGGACGTGGGCGCACATGTTGGGGGCGGGACACAGGGCATGGTGTCGCGTCGGGGCGGGCGGTGGGGGTGTGCTTGTGCAAGCGTTCATCGGGGCGGGCGATGGGGGTGTGCTTTTGCCGGTGTTCGTTGGGGCAGGGGAGTGTACTTTCTGCAGATGTTCGTGTGACGTCCGATGGATTCCCCCCATCGGACGTCCATGCGCTAGCACGCCCCGAATTCCAAGCTTTAACCGTTATCTCTGCTTCCACTTAATTTGCTTTCATATCATATCAATGCCCTAATGTTCCATCTTTGTGACAGAATCTCGAGACATCGCTACACAGCAGCTTCGCTATAATAAAAGAGGCTGGGTAATATGATTTTCTGGTAACAGTTATAAGTTTCAACTCTTAGTCCTACTAATAACAGCATAAACTTCCTAAGGACTCATGTAAGTTCTAACAAAAGTTTGATTTGAAGCACGAAATTAGTTCTGCTATCACGCTAAGCCTCCACGTTGTGCTCATGACATCAAAAGGACATTTTCTTGACTGTTTTTCTTCACACAGGAACGGTGGCCTTGCTGTTTTTGGGGTAGAAAAAACACCGTCATCATCGACCATGCATGCCTCCGCCGACCGGACAACTAGCACCACTGCACCAGAGATTTTATGGTCAGACAACTTCACGACACAGTTGGTCGACTGTTTAGTGGAGTGTTTTCCTATGGTAGTCGTACAACCAAACCAACCTTTCTCATCCTCCCTTTGTTGGTGAAGAGGATCTCAGGGATACGAAACTTTCAGCGCGTCCACAAGGTCAGGCCTACAGCCACACACTGCAGAAGATATATGCATAGTCAGAACTCGAAATGCTCCTTAACCACCAGTTACTGGGGGAATTACTGAAAGGATGTTGCAATGGATTCTATACCCTTGGCGACGGCAGAATGTGTTCCCAAAACATCTCAATTGCCTTAGTAAGCTCCCCCTCGTCATCTTATTCTCCTACGGTCTCCGGCCTGCAAGAATGGACACCATGCTTTGTCAAGCTAACTTGGATAATGGGTCCTCAATAAATTAACGACCTATTCATCGATAATTGAAATAAGACAATTGATTAGGTCCCTTGCAATTTAGACAGAAACATACAGGTTCAGCAATCGGCATATACCAGATTTATTCAGCTGCAATGTGGATTGTGGAATCACTCATGCTGGCCTTGTAATCACAACAGACACATCATGGAGACGTTCCGGCCATATATACAGATAAATAAAAGCTCACGTTCACACCTTAAAATTTTATCAAAATTGACTGAAATTTGTTGCAGATGATTTAATATAGCAAGCAGCTACTTGATGTCATTTGGCACTACCAAATCAAAATGTGGGCCCCACATCAGAGCCGGACCCCCAAAAAATAAAAGCTCGAGTTCACACCTTAAAATTTTATTATTGAAATTGACCGAAATTTGTTGGATAAGTTCAAAATATCATGAAGCTAATATGTGCCAGTTAGCAAAATCTACACGTGAGTCCCACATCAAAAGCTAAAAACATTTCAAGTCAATATGTATGCATACAGTGATATATTAAAAATCAGCATCAAACCATGAGTTCAACCTGTTCAAACCCATAAAAAAAGAACCCAAAGACCAACCCATCCAACCTATTTTTTTTTATTAAACCAAACCCAACCCAACCCGTTAGTTCCTACACATCCAAAGTGCACCCAATTGAAACCCAACCTATTAAACCCATTTCAATCCAACCCATTAGCAGGGTGATCTACAGCAGCCACACACTTGCAGAAGATATATGCATAGTCAGAACTTGAAATGCTCCTTCACTACCGGTTACTAAGGGAATTACTGAAAAGGATGTTGCGATGAATTCTACACCCTTTGGCGATGGCAGATTTTGCTCCCAAAACATCTCAATTGCCTCAGTAAGCTCCCCCTCGCCATCTCATTCTCCTGCGGTCTGCAAGAATGGACATGATGCTTTGTCAAATAAAATGGGTCCTCCATAAATTCACCACCTATCTATTGATAATTGAAATATGACAATTGAGTAGGTGTAGGCCGGTCCCTTGCAATTTAGACAAAAACATACAGGTTCAGCATTTATCAGATTTATTGAGCAGCAATAATGTTGGATTGTGGAAGCACTCATACACTAATATGCATGGCCTTCTAATCAGAACAGACACATCATATAGAGATAAATTACTTGAGAGTCAAGAAGCACTGAGCAAGAGCAAGGAATGAATCATACTTCATACCTCTTCTACCTGTTATGCACAAGCACAATCATCAGGCCTGAAATCGGTGAACAAGGAGGCCTGGCATCCCAGTCCTGTGTCCTGACTCCTGACATCCCTCGTCGCACATCGGCTTCAGCCTTTGATTAGTTACTCCAAACTTCTGAAAAGTGCACTATGCAAAAAGAAGATTTCCTGTCATATCAAATTTGCGGTACATGCATGGAGTACTAAATGTAGACAAAATCAAAAACTAATTGCACAATTTGCTTTAACTTTGCGAGACGAATCTTTTGAGCCTAATTAGTCAATGTTTGGACAATAATTCACAAATACAAACGAAATGCTATGATAGAAAATCTTTACTATGCAAAGTTCGCGCAAACTTTGCCCAACTAAACACCCCCTCATTGTAGTTGTCATCCTCCCAAACAATCTGCTTGTCGCTCTGATACCCCCGAGTCATCCTCCTCGGCGCGGTAGGGATCGGTCTCAGGCGAGGTGATGGACGCGCGGCCGGGCGGCGGAGAAGTGGGCGGCGGGTAGGATACGGAAAGGGAGAAGAAAAAGGAAACTGATGCGTGGCGTGGATCCCATATATAAGAGACCGAAGAGTGACGGACGCCCTCGCGCGTTTGGAGCATGGCGGCGAGTTCATCGGGATCCATCTCCGCGCCCGACGAGGAGGCAGAGTGCGCAGGCTTGGAACCCTTCTTCTACGACGAGGCGGAGGCGGTAGCTGATCACGAGAGGCGGGTGCGGAGTGAGCAGGAGGAGGCGCGCCTGGAGGATCTGCGGAAGCAGCGGATGCAGCAGGCCTATGGTCGGATCCGTGATTGCGATCCCAAGCAGGGCGGCCACTACTTCACCCGCCTCTACTTCGCCGACTTCCGCGAGTTCGACATCGACGAGGAGCGTAAGCACATCGACCCACCTCTCAGTTCCTTGTGATTTTCTACTTTGGTCGCCACAGCGAATTCGTCCATGAGAATCTTAGTTTGCTCGCGACCGTGAATTCGCCCATGAGAATCTCATCTCTGCAGTAGTCTCTTATAGTTATACTTGAATACATAACCTCTGTCAGTCACCCTACACACTACACAGCATGCGCACTTACACTGTAGCGATTTAATAATTGCAAAACAAGAACTTATTCAGAGTCTGATTTGCGGGAAACCTTAACTCTTCTTGTTGTTTTGTTTTCATGAACCTGATTTGCAGTAAACCTTAATTTTGTTAAATTGTTTTCCTGTGCTGCAGCAACCCTTGGTCCAATGAGACATACCAACACGATCTACAAACAGGGCGATTTCTGTCCGCTGCTTGACGCAATAAACATTCTCTCCGTGAAGATAGTATCCTTGGATGTTGATTTCCCAATACATGTCTATGGTACTGTCATCGGCAGAGACTCCCTTGACAGCAAGTGTGTTTACGTCTTCCGCCGCGATAGAGATAATTGCCAAGTCATAAACTCTAAGGTACCGTGCCTAGTTTAGCATCCTTCATTTTTAACGGTGAGGTTTTGACATGCATTCTTAACAGTTTCTCATAGAATGAGAATTATTATGTGCCACTAAACTGTAACGAGGACTGAGACTGTGCTACAGAAAAGTTCCTTCATTCTTTACAATAAGTATGAGAATTATTATGTGCCACTAAACTGTAACGTAAACCTTTCTGTAGACCCAACCGTTGATCTTGGAGGGCCCAAAACGAGGACTCGTGCTGTTAGATGATATATTCATTGAGTGATTGAGATCGATCTGAAGATAAGAGATGTGGAGGGTCTTGATGAACAGGTCAAGGACAGAGAACTCAGTAAAGGGTTTGTAAAGATCAGGGGCAGTCGGAGCATTGTGAAATGCCCTGTTGAAAGTAAATCTCTTGCTACCAGGCTCAGTACTGTTGAGGTGAGCTGTTCAGTCGTGAAAGATGGCCTTGAGGCTCTTGTTGCTATTGAAGTTTTAAAGGGATCATTCAGTGGGAAAATCACTGCCTGCACTTCCAACATCCCGCATAATCTCCTTATTCATGATAGCAAACTTTGCGGTAAGAAGGCTCGTGGCGTTGAAGGAGTTATCCAGCTTTTGCAGCCTGTCATTACTGTCGGTGTGAGAGACATGCTGGTAATTGTAATCGAGACTAGTGATGGCACTTCTAAGCACACCATCGAGTTTATTCCAAGGTACAGCACTACTGAAGAAGATGTTATTGCTGTTGGAACCACTAAGATGCGCATCAAGGTTTCCTGGTCTGTACTGCATTGGTAAGCGCGTATCGTTAAGCTCATCGTGAGGTCCATGTACGGAGTACATCTCATTTTGCCTCCCTCCGCCACTGCAACTATCGAAGACATCTAACCCCATGAGCGGGCCTAAAAACGTGTTTATAGGATTATGTGTTTGTCAGTATTTTTCTTTATTTGAGTACGGGCTGGCATATGAGCGTGCCAGGAACTCAAGATCATGTCAAGTCCAATTGGCTGTTGAATCCCTCGTTGATGGCTTTGGTTCCTCTCTGAGCCACTCTCACGGCCCAACTGAATGATGATATTTTCCATCAAGTCTTGGACTGGTGGAAACAGTCACGGTGCAAAGCTGGAATAGAGATGAGCTTGGAGGAATTCCAACTGAACGATGAATTGATGATCTTTGCTAAGTCTTGGACTGGTGGAAACAGTCATTGTGCAAAGCTGGAATAGAGATGAGCAAGAAAGAGTAAGATCAATAAGATTGCTCTTGTCGTTTGGAGCAGCACAATCACAAGAATGATGCTTCTAAAGGATTACTTTGGTGGGAGATAGCCAAAAGCATAAGGGTGAATTAGACCAGATGAAGCGGTGGTTCCTGGAGCAACAGTTTATGCCCATTCTCCACGGGACATACTCACATACATTACAGCTAAGGCTTTGTTAGGATTAGATCCCTGTTAGGTTTTTTAGGAACCGGCGATACACATTACTGTACAAATGTGCATACCTGGGTCACACACATTGCATTGCGTATAACCAACAAAAGTGCTCTAGGCTTAGAAATATGCATGCAGGTTTTAAAAAATGGCAAAGCCCTGTGAATCATTCTTCTTTTTTTCTAGACCAGCAATATCATAAAATTTGTGAAACTTGTATAGGCAAGGTTAGTTCATCAAATCTTCAGCACACTTTGGTGGACGCAAGAGAATTTTTCCATGGCACCTTTATAAGTCATTGACACATGAAAATTTTGCTTGCTACCAGTAATTTTCACAGTAACTGGTAGATAAACATGTCTTTATACTGTCTTGAACAATTTACCGGTACACAAAATGATACATGACTTGCCAAATGGTATGGCACCAAGGTGATCCAACAATAGATCGACCAAAAGAAAACCCAATAATATTTACCACCGACAGACAACCCAAAATATTATCTCACTTCGGTGCCAGACCAGTCATAGTCAGAGTTCTATGGAGACCTTGTTTTCTTTTGCTTTGGATTTGGGCTTGATGATTCCTTAAAAGCAGAAGGGCAAAGGTTATTGATGCCACACTTGTCGCATTTGGGCCTCAGTGGAGTACAGATAGTTTGCCCAAATCCAACCTACAAGACATTTTTTCAGTTTTTTTCAGCATAGACTAGCAGTTCTGAAATCAAGGCAGGATTCAGATAGCATAGAACAATAACCACTATCTTTAAATCAAATAAAAAAAAGCATTACTAAATAAAGTACCAAAATAAGAAAATACTTCAGTAGAGAGATACCAGTAATGGATTTATAGGTTCCCACTCATCCTTGGGTAGCCATTTCTCTAGAGAAATTCTTGTCTGTTCCGGTGTCGTAGTTTTCTGTGCACAACACATAGCAACATAAGCACTATTCCCCAGCGGCCCAGCCTCTGTAATTAGTTGTGTGTGTTTTTTTTTCCCCAGAAGAGAAGACAACATAAATCAATACTAGGCTACCTGTTTTGTTCCTTCCCGAAAAACCCACCCAAGTTGGTTAGAAATGCGATGCACATGAGTGTCAACACAGATTCCTTGAGTATTCTTCCAAGCAATGCTCATCACCTGTTTACTTAAAGAAAGATACCCATGAAGATATTTATGTTCATATTTCAACCACAAAGGACAGAATAAGTAAGATTATTACCAAATGAGCCATTTTAGGGCCAACTCCTCTCAGAGCAAGCAGCTCATTCAAAGAATCTGGAATATCCCCTCCAAAACGTTCAAGACAAATTTTAGAAGCTTCTTTTATGAACTGTGCCTTTCTCTGATAGAATCCGACCTGTTACAATCATGAACAGTATGCTGTGAGTCATTTATCTGAGAAGTTTCTTGTAATCTCTAGCTTCAGATCATCTTGAGCCTAAAGCGATGTTCCATTTCAAATAGTGTTAAGGGCATGTTTGGATCCCACCTCCTAAAGTTTAGTTAGTCACTTTAGGGACTAAAGTTCCAAACAAACCGACTAAAAAGTGACTAAAACACTTTAACCCCACTAATCACTGGCGCTAAAAAGTGACTAAAACATTATAGTCTAGTAAACTTTAGGAGGTGGGCCCTAAGTCTGGTATAGTGGTATATTTGCAAAGCCTGTGACGGATAACAAAGCAGACACGTGAATTTTCTTTTTCATGCTTCTAAGTTCATTTCTTTTTTGGGTACATACAGTACAGTAATTTTAACTTATGAACGATGTAAGCATAGTATTCATCCTAATAGGGTGAAAACCTTGAAACTTACAGGTTTGATAAGATTTGCAAGTGTGGTCTCATCAGTCCTCACTATAGCATCGGGATCAAGTAAACCGTTTTCAGAGAGGCGTTCCACAGCAGCTGAAAAGAATCGACTCCAAAATGCAATCAGTACATTTCTGAAGGACAACTATTTAGTAGAAAGACATCAGAGAATCTCATGACAAGGCTAGTTTTTCCTGAATTTCATGACAGAACAAAAAAAAAACTCTTGAATTTCCATAGTAACAATAGATACTTCAGTGGTCTGAGAATTCTCAACAAGAAGACATAACCAATTCTGGATACAGGAAATTTTAAAGGCATACCATGGTTAACTTCATCTTTTGTCTGGCTTGACATCATAGTTGATATCAGAACTGCAAATCTTCTTTCCTGTCCAGGCATAGGAAGAGAAGTATTGATTACAACTGGATCTAAACACTTTACAAATGGAACCCATATGCACAATTATTTCTAGACAAAAAAGGCACAAGTATTATAAAACAGCAAATAAGTGAAGAGCCACAAATGTGGAAAATTTGCAATCTATTTGGCACAAAATTAATGTACAGATTGTTTTATTTCTAGACTCTAGACAGGAAAAACAACAACATTTTCATATTGTAGTACAGCACAAGAAAATTAGCCAACTAGGTGAGTTGCATAACCCCGAAGCTACCTATGTAAGGCCAACCAAAGAGGTCTACCTTTTTCTCTTTATATTTCCTTTTTGAAGGGAGCTCCACTTTGACATTAATATCGGGTAGGAAATAAACTTGGGACATGTCATACCAACAAGGCTCTTTACATAAAATTGTAAAGGTGAAAAGATTATTGTGTGGCAAAAACTACCTTGGGTGGAAGGAGAGAACCAGCTTTTTCACAGCCCTTCGTATCTACGGGGGCTCCACCAGATAACCTCATGCTTTTAATGCCTCCAAGAACTGCCTCCCAGTTATCTGGAGCTCCAACTGCACAAATGGCTACCTTGGTTTTCATATCGTACATGGACATAAGAAAGATACCAATCAAATGAAAGAGGTGAATGCTTGATACAGCAGTCAACAAACCTGGCCTTAATGCATTTATTTTTCATGGTGCAACAATGAAGAATATAGGTTGAAAAAATGCACAGATGTTCAGAATAAGGGAACACTAAGTTTAATATAAGTTTTTAATCAGTGGCTACAATTAGACCATCTTTTTGGCTAACATTAAAATTAGGGGAAATCGAGAACAATATAATCTAATTCCAAACATAATGAAAAAATATTGAGCTTACAAATGATAGTTGTGTATGGAAAACTGAAAATGCCACAACATATCCTGACCATGTAAGATCTCACTTGTGGTTGTAGCAAGATTGACCACATGCTAGCAGAAAAGTTTCAATCCAGTGACTTCATCTTAGTAAGTAGTGTTAGAATTGATCTCATCCGTCTTGACCCAACGGTCGAGACGGCCCCCTTGACCACGTCCTGATCGGGGACGTTCAGCCATCTAGTGGCTGGTGGGCCCCCGTCGCACAGTGCCTATAAAGAGGAGGTGGGGCAAACGGCTCTCGATACGAGGTTCACTGCTACAGTAACAGCCCCGCTGTCCTAGCCCTAATCCGATCCAGAGGGAGGCACTGCCAGCGGCGGGAAGCGCCACCAGCATCTTCACCATCGCCGGTCTCCACCGCTACACCAACTGTCGCTGCCCGTGCGCAGAGCTTCACCGACGAACCAGCGATGGCAGGGAGCTCCTCCAACCCCTCCTACGGTCAGATGCTCCTACATCTCTCTCTCTCTCTCTCTCTCTCTCTCTCTGTCTCCTTTCCCGAAGAAAGCTCTAGGTCTATTTGATTCAATTAGTAAAGTAAACACCCACTGGATCCACTCCTAAATGGTCCAAAGAACCTAACAAGTAGTAACCCAATAATTTAACTTCATATAAGCTTGCAGAAAACGAAACATGACATAACAAGAAAAGTAACATGGTAAACATATATGCAATAATTTATCTCTTCTAATAGCCTTCTGGGATTTATGAGTACCTTTTATAACTGAAGAAACTCTGACCTTTTTTTCCACCTTGACTGAAGAAGGGAAGTGTTAGTTTTTTTGCAAGACATGGCAGAAAACATAAATAAGATTGTAATATGGCACAGAGAGACTTGCAAGCAGATTATCCAGAGGAAAGATACTTGCACACTGATTATGAAACATTTGGCTTAGCGCGAAACTGAAAAAGATTATCTGATCAGCACCAGCAGTTCTTACCCAAAGATGCTGTTGCCTTACTTGACGATGTCAATGTTTTGGTCTTTTCGTATCGAAAATCCTCGATGTCAGGGACAATACGAACCTGAATATGCATAGGACATTTTTCTGTTAAGAAGAGCATGAAACCAAGTTGTACTAAGATAACACATGAGTGAAGAAATGTAGCTAAATACATAAGGTAGACTTGCACCAAAGAATAAGGATTCAATGAACAAGCAATTTAAATGAAGGGTACAGAGAGTAAGGAAAGAAAAATGGAAACACATGGAACTTGGTTCTTTCCATACAAAAACATTCTATTTAGTAAGCAGGCACCTGCTTCTTATGATGCTCCCCGTTTACTTCAAGTTCTCGCTTCACCCTTTTCCTCTTAACAGAAGCAGTTGCTTCAGGCTTTGAAATGTCAAAAGAAACACTGGATTCACGTTTGACTTCTCGTACAACTGAAAAAGGCATGAAACTTGTACTTTATTGACAGAAGAAAAACTATACCAAAATTGTTGGGAAATTAATCCTACTCGTCTTGTTCAATCCGCATGAACAAAAGAGATGATAAATAAGGAATTTTTTTTTCTCATCAAACTAAATCCATGTATCTTGACCTTGCATACAGCAGACAATCAACATTAAGCTAGTGGGGGGCAACATGAGCAAGGCATTCACCACTTGACACGTTCACATCATGTCAACATTGATATGCAAATTACTTCAACCATTGCAAAATCTAATTTCCAATGCCATCAAAAGAAAAGACTATATGTGAAATAAACTTAAAGAAAAGGAATCGAATTTTTTGCCCCTTGTATCACTTAAACAAACAGCATAAACTCACGAGAAGAAGAAATCCAGGTAGCACACTGATTTCACCCATCTTGTGAAAGGAATCACGCAACTCCAGTCTCCAGACACATCGGTATCAATATAACATTTAGGCATATACCATGAGATACAATTTTTTTTGGTTGTGGGAGGAGGTAAAGATAAAATTACTACTCCTACATGGCAAGTACCATTTCAATAAAATTGTTCCTCGGGACCAAACGGTGAAGTAAACAGAGCAAGAAGACATCGCACAACTTAGCAAAGGACCCTTAAAAGGGGGAGAAAGATCCGCGGAGACGAAAAGGGCAGGAAACCGGGCTTTCCGCTTTCGCTTCACCTGGGTTGAGGTCGGCGCGGACCAGCAGCCTGGAGGCGGAGGCGGAGCGGGTGCTGGGCATGGCGGCCGGCGAGAGACGAATGCGGGGGAGGAGGAGAGCGAGGTGCATCCGCGCCCGCGCCGCTGCGCTAGGGTTTTAGCTGCGACGAGGGTCCTGTCCTGTTCATCTTTTCCCCCCACCTCCTGTGTTGTCGGGTGGTGTGAGCTTTTCTTCGCGTTCGAAAAAACAGTTGCGTTGCTTGTGGCGCTGCAGCCTACTGCGTGGCGCTTCGTTTCTTCGCCTGCAAACGTGTTGCTTTCGGCTGCGGCGTGCGCGGTGGCCGGCGGCAGCCCGCGTTGATCAGCAAGCGTACCCGTGCGTTAATCGCTGCCTAACCTGACAAGTAATGGTGGGGACAGAGGGACTTAGGGAAAGGAACTCAGCGCCCACACACACCGACACACCAATTGCATGACAGCAAGGTAGTAATCCATGGTTATAGATTATGGAGAGAATTTGCAAATTTGATTGTTACTCTTAATGATCTCTTTGTTTGGTTGTGGAAAAAAATAAGACAGTTAAAAAAATTCATACCCCCTGTTTGGTGCATGAGATAGAAATTATATCACAAGTCATAACCAAATCTTCACTCAATTAATTAACACCTATGTCATGATAATTGATTAGTGGAAATTCATCCTCTAAACTCTAACCCCTCTTCCCACCAAAACTCTTACACTTCGCGCTCCTCTTGTAAGCACACCTGAACCAACCCAAGTTGCTACGGTTCATTTGTGCGCGGGCACGCACACTCTGGAAAAAAAAACTTTCAGAATAAACACACAAAATTTTCCTAAAAGCCATTTTGGAATGAAGATATATATAGGAATAGTGGAGAAATTTCATTAAAAATAATTTAATTTTACATAAAAAAAATATCGGTAATATTGTAGTCCAAGCATCTGGCCGCCCGGACGCTTGCTTCATGGGCCTATTGACCGGCCCAAACAACTTGCTTGTTTGTCAACCACACATGATGCTTCTAAACAAATTGGACCAGGCCATATTTCCCTACTCCGCCTTGTGTCGTTCTCCACCGCCACACCCACGCTGCATGCTCGCCGCAGCAGCCCTCCACCGCGACATCAAAGCCTCCTTGCCGTGGCCGGAGTCTGCTCGCTCGCCGGTGCCGCTAAGCCTCCGCTCTTCCCCTCCCCAAAGGATCCAGAAGCACCCCTCCACATGCGTCTTCCCTCAAGTCGGCCTCCATGGCGTCCCCTCCCACTCCACGGCGGCCACGTCCCTCTCCTACGTCACACCGGTGTTGCCTTTCCCAGATCTGGCAGTATCTCCTCTCCCTCGGCCGACGACGAGCATGTCAAGGGTGTGCAGGCGCACACCAGCCACCTCGCCCATCACTAAACGGGAAGCAGGGGAGGCTTGCGCTCCCATCCATGTTGTGTCATCGGCAGGAAGGGGAGGTTTGTGCCACCGCAGTTCCCCTCCGGGTAGGTCATGGCTGCGCAGTGATGCTGTGTTAAGTGTTTCTAGACATTTTTCCAGACATGTTGCAAAGATGTTTCGTCTGGATGTTACAAGTGTTTCATGTGGATGTTGAGATCAAGATATTGGATATGTTGAATAGTTGTACACGTATACGTACGTTGCAGGTGTCTATCCCCAGTGTTTCATTTGTTTTTTTACACATATCTTGCAAGTGTTTCAGACGCATATCTCAAGTGTTTCATCTGTCTTCTTTTGCATGTCGCAAGTGTTGCATCTAAATGTTGCAAAAGTAGACCGGCATGTTGCACATTTTGTAATGGTGTTTCAATTGTATTCCTCAAATGTTACATTTGTTTTAGACATATGTTGCGAAGGTTTATTTTAGAGCGTGTTTGCGATCTTGTACGATGCTGGCCTGGCCAGCCTTACTTGCCCAGGCCTAGGGAGGCCTGTCCCAAGTGCTGCAACGCAGCTTGTTTGCGCCCATGTACCAATTGAGCCCGGCCCAGGCGAGCTGGTGTTTGCCACCCATTCCTCAGCCGGGCTAAGAGGCCAATTGGGAGCCCATGTGCGCCGCGCGGAGGCGTGCTCCCAGGAAACAATCCCTAGCAGCATATCCCGGGGCCAGGCGCAGGGGTGCCTTTTGGCTCCTAGGGGCCAGACTCGCTCGCGGGCCAAGCTCACAAACACGGCCAGTTGCAGCCCACGAGTGCAGCCGGGCTGCTAGGCCGAGGTCGCAAACGCATTGCAAAAGTAGATTGAGTGTTTCAATGTTTGTAGTGAGACCTATGTGCCACAACCATCTACTTTGCATCTGCAAGGCCCGCGTGCATGCCTGTGGGAGCAGAGGGGCGCGGGAAACGAGAGGAGGACACAAATCGAGGCATGCGTGGGAAACAAAGCGACGTGGGCCCCACATGAAGCACGCAAGGCGTATGGCCGGGCAAGCAAGGCATGCCTAACCGGTGCGAGCGTCCGGCCGCTAACGACCAGATCGGACATCCGGGCGCTACCAGTTCCCAAAAACATAGGAACATGAAACAAATCCTCACATTCTAAATGGAGCCTTTTGTTAACTCTAACGCCTCACTTCCTCTTCCCAATTACCCAACCAAATGTGTTGCAACAATCTGTGTAAGGGTGTGTATGGGATCAAAAAATATTTTAGATCCAAATTCTCTTACGAAATATTTAGGTGTTGAATCAAATTCACCGTATGAAATCATTTGTTTGGTAGGTTGGATTATGATTTTCAAATATATATATATTTTTTAAAACATATAGATTAAAATATGCTTCGGAAAAGTTCAGAATTATTTTGTTGGGCTAAGAACAACTTAAATACAACCTATTTAACTTGTTACACTTAAAAAACTAACTAAAATTACAAATGGAAGACCAGAAACAGAACTGGGAGAAGCCAAACTCCAGCCGTTTCAAACTCTAATGAAAGAAATGCAGCGCGTTCGGCTCCCCCTCGGTGAAAATTCCATTTGGCACTAATTCTTGTGATTCTATTTTTCACGTTCGGCTCCGAAACCCTCAGTGGAACACCTGGCGTTGATTCTTGTGATTCTATTTTCTAGCTCGAGATCCCTCCGTAAAATCTCTATTTGGCACTGATTCTTAAGGGTGCGTTATCTCACAAACGTTTCAGATTCATCAGTTCCTTAGAGACATTCCTTCTAGTGAATACGAATCATGTTCTCAAATCGTTTGGCTAGTAGGTTCAATTCTGATTCTTGGTGGCTAAAATCATTGGTTTACATGAAAAAAAAAATATTTTTTTACAAAATACAAAAAAATGCTAATGTTTTTATGGACGAAGAAAAAAATATCAAAAGCATCTGATTTTAATTCGTTTCACTTGAAGACGATCACTAGAATCATTTTAGATTAGATGGGAGGGGTAGTAATGCAAGAAACAGAATCTGGAGGAAACTACTCTGAAGGTGATTCTGATCTCTATTACAAAAAGAGAGATCACTAGAAACGAATCAGTGTCGTCTTCAACCGTTTGGAAGTGTTTCCAGTGACTCTGAAAAGAATCCTAACCTATTCTCTTCTGGAGAGAATCCAAACCTATTCTCACATCCAAACGGACCCACAATTCTCTTGAGAAACGGATCGGTTCTGGCTATCCAATTTATCCCTAAATATTCCACTCCAACCGAACATAGCCCGTTTTCACTGTTACCTATCGCTGGATCGTAAATTTGATTCACGCCAGGGAAACTAGTTTCGATGCTTCTATTATCAGTCAATATTTAAAACCAGAAAAAACAGAACGTCGAGAATGAATCCATTTAACAATGGGAAAAAGCAATGGAAAAAGCGCCTGGGGGCCATAAATGTCTTTAACTGTTTACTCCATTGAAACAACATAGAACTAACGGCCTGTTTAGTTCCCCTCTAAAACACCAAATTTTTCAAGATTCCCCGTCACACCGAATCTTTAGACACATGCATGAAGCATTAAATATAAATAAAAAATAAAACTAATTACACAGTTTAGACGAAATTCATGAGACAAATCTTTTAAGCCTAATTAAACTATGATGGGACACTAATTGCCAAATAACAATGAAAATGCTACAGTATCGTTTTGCCAAAATTTTCGACAACTAAACTGGGCCTAACTAAAAGAAAGCAGGAAGGCCAAAGAACATGTACTCAGATCGACGATAGAGCCTATCACCTTGGTCAAAACCAAGATTTCTGGTTGATCATAATCATAACACTACAAACCTACAACAGATTTTGGTATCATATGGTAGACCAGGTGACATATTTGGTTCGCAGGCAGGCAGGTCTCACCAGGTAAAATATTCAATCCCAACTAAATCACGCTCAGGCAGGTTGCAGGCATGGGTGCTAACTCCTAACGAGGCATCCTACTGCAGGGTTAAAACCAAACAGCCCCTTTTACAATAACTTCCTCAAATAGCAGTTGAGAATAAACTTGGTGCCAAAACTAACAGCAATGACAGGAAAGTTCAGGAGGATACATCAACAGACCAAACTAACTATCCAGTCACATTCCACAACCACAAGAAAGCAAAATGAGCTTGACAAAGAAACTCCAATTATTCCCAAAAAAACATTGCCGGTAGCGGTTGCAGATAAACATCTAAGCAGGAAGACCATCAAAGAACTTCATGTAGTCATCAAGCTTCTCCTCATGCCTGATCTTAACGATCGAACCATCCTCTTCCACCTGCAAAGCAAACAATAAACCGTATTGGTTAAGTGACCAATGAAGAAAACTGATAGACAAAAGAGGCAACAAATGGGGAACGTTATGAATGGACATCCCCCAAAGTCTCAATTCCTTACATTTACGGTCTACACCTGCATGGTTGACATGCAGAACTCTTAAGAAAACATTGGTTGGCCAATAGGCACGGGGGTATTTGGAAACACATAGAATTTGCATGTTTTAAGAAACGAGCAACTTTGGCACTAGCCCTTATTTTAGAGCCCCAATGACTGGTTGTCAAGCTCCTCTCCAAGATCCCCTACAGCCTCCATGTTCTACAGCACCTCAGGCTTGCCAGGCTTTGTTCCCTTAAGCTCCTCTAAGCCGCCAGCACTATGCCCCACTCTCCTAATTGGTCTGCTCAGCCTACCTTCTTAACAACAATCAACAATCCAGAAAAGAACCAAGCTCCCGTCCATGGACAGATACCCATCTGCGACATTGTGGGATAGGCAAAGGGGACGACACGCAAGTAGGCTGGTAGGTATGGACCAGGAGCGACAGGGTGCAGGCTGTGCGGCATGGTGTGGAATCAAGGGGAGATGGCATGCAGGGAATTTCAAGCCAAGTTTGAGCCTCTCCATCACTCTACATTTGAGGCCTTATGCAGAAAAAAAGGGTAGCTTCAACAGGCCCCACTCAAGCACTCAAACTTGAGCGGCACCAGCATTTGCCCTGAGCCCCATCATTTCCCAATGGGCAAGCAAGCCATGCAAGGAGGCGCAGTGGCAGTGGAGGGTCAGGAGCAGTGGGGGTTGCAACCCTGCTGGACCTCGATTCTTAGAATCAACCACCAAAACTGCTATAGTTACTCTAAGGTCTAAGGAAAGAAGACCCAGGCAAGTAATTGAAATTCCCTAGCTCGCAGTGGGTCTTTCCATTTTTCCTACAAAATAATCATGAGAAAAAAGGAATATAGGTGGTAATATGTCCCCCCCCAGGGAGGTTGCCGCCCTTCTTTAGCTAAAATATCATGTTGCACTGTTTCAAAAAAAATCATCACAAAAATCATGTATGTAGTACCTAAAGTTTGTAGCTGAAACAATTCAGTCTGAAATTCATCTCTGATGTTGAGATTCAAAAAACACAAGTGTCACCGTCAACACATGATGAACAATGACAGGTTGACCACTTGTTTATTTTATTTCTTGACATCTAGGATTTATATCAAACTAACTGTTGCAACTATACTTAACTCTGTGTTCTACATACGTGATTTTTGTGATGATTTTTTTGAAACATTGCAACATGATATTTTAGGTATTGAGGGCGCCAGCCCCCCCTGGGCACTAAATATGTGTTGTAGTTTGTACCCAGTACTCCCGGCGGCCTCAACTTGAGGTTGTAGGTGGAAGCCATGCTCATACAGTAGGCACCTGCGTCATGAACAACCAGTCCAGCTCCCTAAAAGGACAATATATGTCAGAAGGAAACAGAGGAGACACTAATCATCAAATAAAATATAATGGCTTTGAAAAAAGACCTCATCAGGGGTTGGAAGTTCCCTATCTTTTCCAAGGAAATCTGCGGACTCACAAACTGGTCCTACAACATCAAAGGTCGCTACTTCGGCACCAGGAGTGGGGGGAGAGACCAGTTCGATATGCTGCCACATGAGTAACAAGATTCAAGAGCTGAAATAACTTTCTTCACATGAAATTTTTGTTTATTCGGTTAACATGATTTCTATGCATTTCAATGAAAATGAAACCTAAACATAAATGCTTCATCAAGTTGCTGCAATCATAGTGCTTCATTAAGTTGCTGCAATCCCTGAGTGATGCATAGTTGACTAAGAGAATCAGCAGTGGAAACAACAATCATAAAATAAATCTATGGCAAGAATGAGATGTAGCAGTATCATATCATTCCAAAACTAAGACTAAATCCTTTACTCTCAACACATTACCTAAATATTTAATCTACTGTGTGGTGTCTAGGTGATGCTGAGAACATAGGTGTGTAGTTGAACTTCCTGAGCCTACACCAGTAAATTACCCATATACGGTTGTAAATATTAGCATTGAAAAACTGTCCGATACAAGGCAATATTCAAAATTTCCATGCATTAATCTACTTTCTCAAGACTATCACAATGTCAAAGTGGTTACCATCTTGGATACACAACCAAAGCTATGGCTTGGAATCATTATGGTTCTATAGACGGAAAAAGAAACTACCTCGAGAACATAGTAGTAACACTCGCTATCATTGATTAAATCTCTACTAAACAAACCCTTCCTAAAAAAAAAAAAAAAAAACTCTAAACAAACCTGGTATGCTCCATACAGACTAGGTCTGATGAGTTCTGCCATGCTGCCATCAACAACAATGAAATTCTTTGTACCATTAGATTTAACACCAGTTACTCTATTAACGAAGCAGCAAGTATTAGCGATCAAAGATCTTCCAGGTTCAATAATAAGAGTAAGATCTGTAGAGAGAACTAATTCTCGCACCTGCAACAAAATAAATAGAATAAACATGATGAATCAAGCCATAACTGCATAAGCTAACTTTTCATATCACAATAAGGAAAACTGATATCTTAAAGATGCATGCGTGCCTGCATAGATATGAATCAAAAACATGGTAAGGATGCTGAGCTTACAGTGTTGATGAGATCCATAGGTGTAGGTAAGACTGCATCGGTATGATGGTAATCTATTCCCAAACCACCTCCAATATTCAGGTACTCCAACTTAAAACCTTGTGCTCGAATTTCATCAACATAATTCACCATAAGAACTGCAGCATCTCTGAATATATCAACCTAAAAAAATGGAAGAACACTTTAGATACATCTACTAAGAAACAGGTATTCTGCAAAGAATACAGCAAAGAATACAGCCATCTAAGCAAAGAGTACTGAACACTGAACATAAATGTTCTGCATGAATATTATTTGGGTCTTTATGGCAGAAAGATAAAAGCCATAACCAGTATCAGATCACTTTAAGCAAAATAATTGAAATGGTATTTACTATAGCGACTTAGTGAGTGCATGGGTAGTACATATGCATGGAAGGATGGAGGATCTACCTCTTGATTCAGTCAAACATGCATCTTAATTTCAAAATAGTTGCATGGTCATCCTCAGGTTCTATACGGGACTTCAAAGTTAGATCTTAGAAGACAGGTTCTATAATGGACTTCAGGTATAATTTTAATAATAACAATAATTTCTAATTTTTACCGGTGGTAAAGGCTGTCAGGCAATCATCCTAAAACAGGGTACATTAACAGACTACAGGTGACATAGTGCAAAATGGTCATTGTTGACTGGGGCAGCAAACATTTAGCTGACTGCAGCAAAGTGACTGTTAACCCGACACAAGATGTTGCCTATTAGGCAGAGAAAAAAGTACAATTTACCACTGCAGGCAAGCTTTTTATTTCCTCAAATAGACGAATATGCAAGAGAGCTGTGTTTCATTGCATTAAGAAGAAAAAGAACAACTGCGGGCAAGCTCAGTCTCAGTTCAACAAATTCTAGACATAAGGCTATAGTGATATTAAAATAATACTACAAAGAGAACAAGACATTACCTTTGTAATAGTAGATCCCAGATGGCAATGAACACCGACGCAGTTTGATTTCATCTGGGTATGACTTGATAGAGTCCAAAACCATTGCAATTTCTCATTGCGGATCCCGAATTTGGACGTTTTTATTTCCCGTGGCAACATAATGGATGTACCTGTTGAAAAAAGTTCCTTCTTACAAAAAATGTCCAAGCCACTGCTACTTGGCATATCAACGTATCTTATAGGTGTGAAATTCAAAACTTTTATAACATTTAACTCTTCTTTTTTTCTCGAACACGCAGGAGAGTTTAACTCTTCTTTTATTATCACTACCATTACTAATATACTGCTGACTCTTTTATCTTTTGGTAGCTCTTATATTGGGTTTTATCTCTACCGGTCTAGCCTGCCCAATTTGCTTGGGATTAAAAGGCTTTGTGGCAGTGGTCGCTCAAAAGTGGAAGACACAAGGAGTTATTTAATCTGTTAAAGGAAAAAAAAAAATCAGATAGGGAGGAAAGAGTGATCACAACAGAAGTGGCAGTTGTCCACAAGACATTCAAGTAATAAGGAAACAGAAGGAAAAAATCCATGGATAACAAGCACAAGTAAATTAAATCAATAAAAGGTACCCCACTCAAAACAATACAAAGGGATGTTAGCCAGCAGCCAGGTGCACACCCACAACTGGAACTTGATAGTTGAGAGAGAGAGAGAGAGAGCACAAACACAGTGCCTGCTGACTGAACTGAGGATGTCTTGTAGTAGTATAAGGTGATGTACACCCACTACCAGGCCATACATGTTCAAGTTGATGTACACCCACTACAAGACCATACCGGCCATTCTACCAACTACTAGAACAAAGCCATACATGGCCTATGGATAGAATGGCATGACCAAATAAGCAAGAGCTAGCCAAATTCCATCAAGGGATAAGACAAGGGCAATAAAAGAAACCAAATACTCTCATTGGCCGCATGTGTATACATGTACGTGTGTTTTGGGGAGTACTAGAGGGTAACCATACCTGCGGATCCACATCTGGATTTATTCTAAGCAAAACAGGCACTTTCTTTCCGGTAGCCCTTGCAGCTCTGACAATATTTTCCAAATCAAATTCACTATCCACGTTTACAAATACTCCGCTCTCAGCAGCTAATTTAAGATCTTCGAATGTCTTCCCATTTCCGTTAAATATACACCTGATCTTCAAAATAGAAAATGAATATAGTTACTTTCTATTCAGAAACAATGCCATCAACTGGAGAAACGGTGAGCTCTACAGCTGAAGGGGTTTGCAAGACCAATGGCGAGCGAAAATCCTTGAGTAGATTAAAACAATGCTATGCGATAGCCAATAATATCATTATGTGATTTTTTTTTTTGGTTTTGGGCCTATAGTCCATGTACACTTTTGTAACATTATTTATTCTTTCATACAAAAAAATAACCAGGTCTCTCCTTTTTGCACTATCAAGGACAGATCTGCACAAACAAAACCATAGTACTTGTATACACAAGTTCTGCTAAAAAAAACTGAACGCCTGTCAGATAGCTTAACTAGCATTTTGGAATCTCCCAGCTCTTTCCAGATTCATGTTTTGTTGAGGACATATGTGGGAGTTAGATCAAAAGAAAATTCTTCAACCCTTTGCCAATGCACGTGAAAGTGACAATTCCAAGTTCAAAGTTTTTGTATATGAGTTTTTTACGCCGTTGTGCAAGGGAGGAACCAGAAGGAAGGTTGCGGCTAGCAGGGAAGAGATCTTCAGGAGGCTGTCCGAGGGTGCGCAGGTCAACCAGCAGGCCGCTGAGCCAATAGAGAATAACAGTCAACATCTTCTGTCCCGCAGCTAGGAACCTGACTTATGCATGCAGACTAAATAAAATGAACTTGGCACTAGAGCTGGCCTTTTTCGTACTAGAGTTTTGGTGACGTGCTTGTCTGCATGTTTGTGTGGCCATTATGTGTGATCCCTGTTCTTACTTTGTAATCTGGTATTCCCAGAAACTCGCTTTCTATAAAGCAGGGCCGGAGCTCCTTTGTTCAAAGGTGATATATACTTCAATCCTCCATTCCGCCCACCATTTATACAACAAGAATAAGACATTTAGACCTATACTGTGATGCATTCATATTTGATTTTTGTCTGCAACTTGGACTTGGAGTCTTGAAGTTGGAGAAATCAGAAATGGGTGGACTTGGCTTGCTGTTGCCTTATTGGGAATAAAAGTAAAATTACAATATTTGCAGGGTAATTTCAATGCTTACTGAATTTTAACCTGCATTATTATTTGTTTATTAAAAGTACTAAAATGTATCTGCATATGGGGTATTTGGGGGTAAATGCCCTAATAGTGTGTCCATATCAGCCTGATAACAAGACACTTATCTGTGCTGCATAGACTTCGATAACAATATACTCCCTTCATTCCAAATTATAAGACGTTTGGCTAATGCAGTTTGCTGATGCATAGATGTTTTGGCTAATACATAGACGTTTCGGTGCATAGATTTTGATAATGTATTACCGTGGCTAATGCAGTTTGTGCAATCGCTACAATAATCTAACATTATCACTGCTATCCATGCCAAATATACAGAAACGCCCTTCATCACCATCAGCGGCAATGCAACATAATCTATTATAATCCATCCAAAATTAAAACAATAAACAACAGCAGCAGAAAGTGAAGACATTTGCTCAATGACACCAGTCCATCCCAGGAAGTAAAAATCTTGGAACAAGAGCAGCACCTGGTGGGGTCAAATCCCGCCTGGAGAGCGAGTCGGAGCTCGTTGCCGCTAACGAGGACGGCGCCGCAGCCAAGCTCACGCAGGACGCGTAGCACGGGGAGGTTGTTGTTGGCCTTCACGGCATACCCGACGATGGAGCGGAGCCCCTGGAGAGCGTCGCGGTAGGCGGCGAAGTTGCGGAGGATCTGAGGCTTGCTGTAGAGATAGAAGGGGCTGCGCTCGGCAGCCGCCATCGCGTCCTCCACCCGCACTCCCTCGCAGTACAGGTAGCCGTCGGCGCCGCGCCGGAAGCAGTGCTTCGGCACGCCGGCAGCCGCCGCCGCCGCGGGCTGTGGCGGTGGGGACGGGGAGGCCGTGGAGACGGAGGCGCGCACGGAGGACAGGCGGCCATGGCGGCGAGGGAATGAGACGACGGCGGGGCTCCGGCGGTTCGGGTGGCTCGATTGGGTAGGGTTTGGGGTCGGGAGAAGGGAGCGCGAGAGCAGGTTAGCCGCCGCCATTGCTAGGGTTTAGGGAGCGAAGTGTCCTGTACCAGTTCCACGCAAACACGAGTTTACAGAGATTTCAGGATTTGACCACCACGTGTGCCTCACTCACACTAATTTCTTTGAATTGTTTCGTTATCTTTTCTCCAATTTATTTTTTTATTTATTTTCTTTCTTTTCCAGATACCGATTCATTTCGGGTGGCTCTTTATATATATAAGCAATCAAAGCATGCGATGGGTTTTAACATGAAAATGAATTTTCAATCAAAGCATGCGATGGGTTTTAACATGAAAATGAATTTTCAATCAAAGCATGCGATGGGTTTTAACATGAAAATGGGAAAACAAACAAACAAAAAAGGGCGCTGCTGGCGCTCGGACGTCCGATGGATATAGATTCCATCGGACGCCCGCCCCACACGCCTCTGCCTCCTTTCGGACGCCCGCGTCTGACCCACGTTGTATCTCGCATGCTGCACCGCCTCCACATACACACGCAACCCCGTGACTGCTACTGCCCATTTTAATTAGCCTTTTGTGTTGCGCCTGTGCATCCGAATTTTTTACCATTTGACCCTTTTTTGAAAGTTTCTCACAAATAGACCCCTGACGGAAAGAATTTCGAAAATTGACCCTGGGCTCGATGCTAGGGTGAATGGCGCCGAGCTCGGCGCCACCGTCACTGGCGCCGGGCTCCTAGGCACGGGGAAATGGCCTGCCAGGAGGCTCGGCGCCATAGTGACGGGCGCCGAGCCCCCTGCATTTAACCACAACCCAACCTTCTTCCCCGAGCGTTCTTCCTCTTCTTTCTTCTCCCTCTTGGGTTTTTCTCTCCCCACTTCGCCCTACCTCACGAATCGACACATTGGACCTTGAAAACCTTGATTTGATCCGTAGATCTTCGAGAGCAAGGTATACTCGCTCACCTCCTTGTTTTTTCGCATCGATTCGGTATATATTAATCGGATTTTTCAACCTAAGAATCGTCATCACTTAGTGTTTCATTGTATCCCTCAATATATGTATTATACAACCGTAGGTTGATTCCAAGGCGTGGAAAAAGCTAGCAAACCAAGCCGCATATAGTTATGTTATGGGTTCATTGTTGTGGATGAAATGAGAAACCCTAGGTTTAGGGTATAATGTTAACTGCTTTTGGTTCTTAGAACGAAATTGGTTGTATTGTAGTTATGGTTCTCATTGATAGTTTGTTGTGATGTTTTTATTTATGTTTGTTAAATTACATCCTTTTTTTTAGATGCAAGAAATGTTTCGGGGGGGAGTTTTGGCGAAAACGGGGTCGTCCTCGAGAATTATACCCCGACGCGTCTAGCAAAGATGCCTCCGTCTCTCCTGACCTTCATGTCCCTAACTGTGACTGTGGTTTTCCGGCCCATGTTTTTCAATCGAAACATCCGGACACAGCCGCGCGTTGCTTCTACACATGTAGTCGGTTTAATGTAAGAAATTATTTGTACTATCCTTTTTCTTTATTTGTTTAAGTATGGTACTAATATTTTGTTGGAATCTCGTTGTGTAGGACCATGAGAGGTGCTTTTTCTTTCAGTGAATCGATGGTGCAGACAAGTTTGATCCTAGGTACCTTTTTTTCGACGATTGGTTTAGAAGGAGACATCCACGTGAGCACTTCAAGCGGTGGGTTCCACCCCCCTAACCCTCCGGCAATGACGACTAAGGAGAAGCACCTAGCCGTAGTTAGACTACTCGAGGAACCTCCTCTGTGCGATTGCGGAGATCGAGCTGTGATAAACCCTGAGAATATGTTGGAGTTTATGTGTCCAAACAAGCATGAAGTAAGTGTAAAGTGTATATGTTAAAATCTTGAACTATATGTGATCATGTACTAATGTCTCATTGTTTAGGTGTATTCAATGGTGAAGTGTCGTTTCAAGGAGTGGTTGTATGGTCCTAAGAACCAATGGCCGGAAGAACCGCGGAGGGTTAAGGAAAAGAAGAAAGAACGGGTAATCTACAAAGCACCTCCTGTCATGTGCGAATGTGGTGTAAAATCCAACTATGACCTAGTCCCTTCGGAGCTTGGAATAGGCCATATGATTGAGTATGATGAGGTTCGTTATTTTTCTGGTAAACATGAAATCATATTTTGTTTGTTTTGCTAAGACATATATGATATAATATTTCTTTTGAACAGAGCACTAGAAAATGTCGTTGGGAATGTTATGATGGTCAAGTTAAGTTCTTGGATGAACTGAAAAAGAGTCAACTAATTGCACGGAAGAGGGGATATGGACCTGACTACGTCAATCTATTCGTTAAACATCACAAAGAAAAGATGCGTGAGTTTGTTAGATAGCGCGGTATTTGTAACCCGATCGATGTTGGTCTTAACAAATGGGGATTGGAGAGGCGGATGACGTTAGAGGAGGAGAAGGCAAGGAATGAGGCAAGGGAGGAGACAAGAGTACAGATGCAGGTCTTGAACGAGCATGTTGCTACATTATGTGCCAGTGAGTGCTTGAAAACCTTTTTTCGTTGCCTTGTTTTAAATATAATATAATCGCGTTGCTAACTGATTGTATTTTATACATGAAGGGATTGGTTGCAGCGGGAAACATGCTGTAGAGATGGCTTATGCAAGGTATGAGGAGAAAAAGTTAGATGGCCATAGATCATGAGCTGGTCGCACCGTTCAATCACCGATTGTGTTGTGTGATGACGGAGACGAGGATGAGGACGACACTAGCAGGCTGAGTGAGCTCATTGCTCTAGCAGAGGCGGGCATACAGGCACAGGAGGTTGAGAACGACACTGGCAGACTGAGCGAGCTCATCGCTCTCAGCAGAGGCGGGCATTCAGCGCAGGAGGTGGCGACGATCTTATCGGGCAGATCGAAGCGAGCTCATCGCTCTCAGAGGAGGCGGGCTTACGCATGAGGAGGATGATGACGCGTTTTTTCACTCAGCCGCAATGTGCGCAGATGAAGTGAGGCCGCTTACTACAAGCGATATAGGTAGGTCGAGCAACGTAGTTGAGCCTAGCCACGATAAAAGGGTTGTAGTAGAGAAGGCGGTACACGGATGATGAGTTGCTTACTCAAGACGTTTTGCATCGAGTATTTGGAAGTGCATTTGCCCCTATGTCTCTGCCGACACGTAGTTGTAGTATTAATATGTTGTGTAATGTGGCATAGTATCGAACTTTTCATTATGTGGTTGTTTTCATTATCAATTGTCTTAATATTCCGCTTAATGATACGGACGTATTTAAATTTGAACACATGCTGCAAAAACACTTAAGGACGTATGGCATTATATAAATCAACACACGAAACACATTAAATGGCATGTGACTACATGTACCGAAGAACACAGGTACTGAGTTTTCTTTGACTAAACCTAACATGCCTTAGGTAATTAAACCATGCCTTAGGTAATTAAACTTAACATGCCTTAGATAATTAAACATGGGTACATGTGAAAAAGATAAAGTCATCCTAGTAGTGTGGCCACATAATAAATTGTGTTGCACCTTCTCCATAGTAGCCTTCCATTGTTGTTGGTGGTGGTGGCGGGGTGACAGGGGAGGCCCCTTTCTTTTTGTGGTTAGGGCAGGTGCAATATGGATCATTGCAGAGTGCCTCTTATAAATCGGCACTATTGTTGTTGTCGTACTGTTCGTCATCCTTGTAACCGCTGCTAACTTACCTTTCTAGATCGAAGATATAGTCCTGTAGGTAGTAGATGTACTCCGCATGGCAAGAAGCGTATGCGCGCAATGTTGCCGGCGGCGACGACAGGCAGAGGAAGGCTAGCGTGAGAGGGAGAAGAAGAAAGGCGGAGCGGCAGCGGCGATAGATATTTTCGAGCTCGGCGCTAGAGTGACTGGCGCCGAGCTTGACGCCAAGATCTACGGCGTCGAGCTCGGTGCCAATCACTCTGGCGCCGAGCCCCCTGGCAGGCGTGCCCAGGAGCTCGGCACTAGTGACGGTGACGCCGAGCTCGGCGCTATTCACCCTGACACTGAGCCCAGGATCCATTTTCGAAATTCTTTCTGCCAATGGTGTATTTATGAGAAACTTTCAAAAAAAATCAAATAGTAAAAAATTCGGCCCATGCATACACGTAGGAGCACCCACGCCTACTCCTGGAGCCGAGCCCCTCGCTTCCCGCGCCTATACTCCTGCAGCTGCAGCTCAGGCCTCGCTTCCCGCGCCAATGGATGCATGTGCATGTAGCTAGGGTGGGGAGCACCCACGCATGTGCTACTGCAGTACTACAGCAGGTAGGGGACCGCCTCCTTGGCTCCCGTGCCCATGCATGTAGGTGGGGACCTTGCCGCTTATTCCCACGCCTTGCTTTTGTGCTGCTCGTCGACGTGTTTACGCAAAGAGACCAGATCTATATGGAGTATTTGCAACATCAAATCTATTTTGCAATATTTAAATAAAATACTTGTAGTATATAATATACATGCAAACATACATGGCACGTACTGTGCCAGATAATAAAAACCCTCGCAACATAAAAGCAATTACGGTAACATGCGTTTGAAACAGGTGACACATTTACAATATAATTTTACAACATACGTGTATAGCTACAGCAATATAGATAATATCCGTTTGAAATATTTGAAGTACACACTTGCAACATACGTGTCGGTGTTTCGGACCGGAGGATCCTCAACCAACTAGTAAATCTATACCGCGTGTTCCCGATCCCGGATGGTGATGCAAAGAGACACAAGGTTTATACTGGTTCAGGCAATTGGTGCTCTACATCCAGTCTGAGAGATTGATCTTGTATTCCTTGCACCGAAGTGCTTGTAGTAGGGGGTTACAAGCTGGGTGAGAGATGGAGCTAGTCACAGGTCTCGGCGAGGAGTGATGCGGACTACTTGAGACGTTGCTCTCAGGCAGCAAGGAAATGTGCGTGTTACAGAGTGTTGCTTTGGTGGGTGCGTGTGTTCTCTCTAGAAATGGCCCAAGTCCTTTCCTTTTATAGTTGAAGGGAGGACAAGGGTAGCACGTGT